AAACAACGGAGCTTCTGTTGCTGGACTCATTCCTCAATGGAATTTCCTGTTGCACAACCAAACACTCGCTTTCTTACTACCTCGTTACGGATTCGCCGACACCAACCGCCACGAGATATGGTTCTGAGACAACGATTGTCGAACACCTGAACACGTCTCAGTTCCGCTGCTCGAATAGGCCAAGTCTCACAGCCATACAACAAAACAGCCCGTACTGTAGCTTGATACACACGTTCCTTCAGATTCAGGGATAAACCATTCTGACGGCATAAGTGTCTCAAATTAGCAAACGCGGCCCGGGCCTTGCAGATTCGTGCATTCACCTCATCTGTCACACTACAGTCAGAACTAACACAACTTCCAAGATACGTAAAACGCTCCACAACTTCCAGTATCTCTCCCTACTTCACTTAGAAATGCAGAGCCAACGGAGTGGAAAACACGATATAAATAAAGCCGAGGTGCACATTTCCCGCGAGTCAGGTAGATTTCCCGTAAGATAAACTATCAAGAAGCGAAAATCAGGGGGAAATTTAACGAGCATATATTCTCATGATGATATCGGCAGTAGTCACTTATCCGACTCGGTGTACGTCGAAAACCGGGGAGCTACAGTTGGCATATTATTCGATCACTTCTTCATGACCATATGACAAACATGTTTCGCGGCAGCAGTATTCCGATTGGCTAAATCCCGTTGAGTAAAGATCTGGTTATAGTCACTCATTCTTGTATGGCCAAGCTGTGTGTCCACTTTTACTAACGTCGGTCAACTGTCCCACACGGAAAATCTGCAATGACCTTGCGCAACACCCGCTTTGTTCACATGATGCACGTTGGACCATGCTTTGCTACTTGTTCATACGTACAGCTCCCATTCCTTCAGGTTCGGTTTCGGTTCTTTCTGCGGTCGTTGGTGAGCTTCATCTCAGCAGTATGTGAGCTGGTCAAGCAGTGCAGCATCACGACTACCCGTACAACAGAATCTGCACATGGTAGTCAATAAACTATTCCGCCGTTACCACGAAGTAGTTTTTGATATAATCTGAGGTATTTGGGTTGCGAATCAGTTTGGGGTTATCCGAATATGGCTTTATTTGTCGGCGAACATTCTGAGACTGGACTAGAGAGTTTACTGCCGACCACGAGCTAGGTAGTTCGATAGCGAACCAGTGGACTGGCGTTGCACCACAGTCAAGCGGTACACCGTTGTCCAGGAGTCAGGCAGAGCTATGTTGTTGAGCAGGGGTAACCTTCACTCCTGAGTGGCCTTATTAAATAGCGCGGATTTCCTCCGGCATAACTTACTTTCTAGCACGCGTACGTTGTACCTGTTACCTGTAGTTCACACGGGGAGTCGACAGTAAGTCTCCATCATACAATTTAGAACGTTGTTGACTAATAATATTGTTCCTCTTTATAACATTGTACCATAGGCTCTATCTTTCCCTCGAGTTACATCATTACATCTGAATGGCCGCCCCCTTTGGTTCACTAGTTGATTCGCTTTCTGATTGGTCGACTCACCCAATCGAACAACTCGAAAAGTACCGTCAGTCCGATAGTTGGATCAGGTATCGATGGGGGGGGGGGAGTATAAAGGTCAAACTCAAGCGTAATCTAGGTATCGATCAATTAGAAAATTTGTCAGTGGACATCTTAACCGAAGGTGATTATCGACCGAAGAGACAAGGTAAACACGAACACAACCCAGGTTGAGGCCTGGAAATCGACGCATCTTTACGGTGCGAACAGTCCAAAGCAGAGGTCTGGGGAAGGTTTATCTATGTAAACGTGGAGACGTTTAGGGCAAAACGGACATTGGTGCAGTTGATAAGAGTGTGAAATTTTGAGTGCTGCCATAGCTACGTGGACGACCTCGTGAGCTGGACTAGCCGACCGCCAGCATCATTTCACTATCCTATGCGAAATTCGCTTTCCAGTCATCACGCGTAAATATATTCTTTCGCCCCTACCTGCTTGCTAACTAACGTAGGTGCTCGCGGAGCATGAAGAAGGCCTAAATGAAGTGAAAAATGGCGTCAGGATGCACGTGATTAGTGCTGAGGTTCCACAATCAGGCACAAACAGGCTGACGATCCTCAACGGTCTTAAGCATGTTTAGTTGCCAAAGTTGCCGTTTATGGTCTGCACCAGTTTATAGTGGAGATTACTAGCTCTGTTCAAACTCAGTGCGGTTTGATACAAGATGACTCTGACGGCGCTCATCAGCAGACCCCGTTCGGATACCACCCATTCTTCTCTACGGCATAGGCCGTTTCATCCGGCTTTTAGGCCACCTCCATCTTGCCGTTACTGTCATTACCACGACTCATTTTGTTCCTTAGGATGAAGTCGAAAAGACGGAAGGACTAAAACTGACCAGATTGCTCTTTGGAATAACGACGATAATAACAATCTTATCACTCACAAGCAAACCAAGACAAAACTCACTGGGTTTAGTGGATCGATAAGAAATAAAAAGTAAATGCAATGGAATGCACCCGATCCACATGAAAGTTTTCCGTAAATTAAAGGCGCTGACAGTAGGTTAATGTTGGGTAGAGCATGCTTGACTGGACGGCAGGCGAGTGTATGCTAGGCACCATTAACGGATTATAAACTGTTGGTGTCGAGGTAACCGGACTGGGGGTAACGACCGGGAGAGAACTTGGGCGCATGAAGACGTTTGTCGCACTTGGCGTAGTTGGTGTAGAAACCGGAGGTGCGATGGGTGGCGGATACCAACTCTGCGTTGTTTGTGGGGGTTGCTGGACTGCTACAGGTACGGGCTGTGGAACAGGATAATACACGGGAGTGGGTTGCACTACCGTCGCCGTTGGAGCTGCTTTCATTTGTATGTCGGCTGGCCTTCCCGTCGGTGGGCAATTACATTGCTGTTTCTCACATTCATACCCAGAGTTGTGCCTCCTGGGAGCTCGAGGTGGTAGTCGATGGGTATACTGATGATCACATGCATGTCTGTTAGATCGCTGCTTGTCAGAACCATCCAAGAGTCTGAGTGTATCCAATGAAAGGTACCTCCCAAGATGCGCGCCTCTTTCTCGACAGGGTCTGGTTTCTCGAGCACGACAGCAAGCTTCGTTGTACAGACGGCTACCCAGTTCGGAACACATTTCGCTTAGTACATCCATCAGTTCTCCATCCGCTTGGCCCTGAGAAGATTCTTGATGGTGTCGTTTGGATGGAGTAGAACCACAGTGACATGTACGGCTGCAACGTTTTGACATAGACCGGCGACCCTGTTCACGTGAATACGCATCAGGATCATCCGAATCATATCTTTGGTCATTTATAGTTGGGACGGAACCGTAACGTCTTCTATAGCGGCTTCTGGTGCGATATTGGTGATCGTCTTCTTCTGAATCATCTGATGTCTCTTGATGCTCGCTAAAATCTGAAAATCTTCGCCTCATACTACTTCTACTCTTTCTTGGTCGGCGCGACATTTTATCGCTGTAGTAATCGCCAAACCTATCAAGTGGTCGCCAGCCTCTCAAATCATCATCGCTTTCCATCTCAGTGCTGACCAGACTGTAAAGTCGATCTCTTCTACTAGGACGTCTACTTCTACGTCTTCCAGCTGAGTGGTCGATGTCTTCTTTGCCGTCAGCATGCCTCAGAGAATATCTACTGCTCCTCCTTGACTCGCTTTCATCCGGCGGAAGCGCACGTGTTGAGTACCTGCGCTGCTTCCTGGTACTTTCATCTACGTCGTCTCGCTGTCCATCATTTACGCTTAGTTCCTGGATGGTATAGTTCTGAAATACTTTAGACTTCCTGCGTTCAATCTTCTGTTCATTACCAACTTCCATACCTGAATCCTTCATAATTGTTGCTTCAGCACTTTTCGAAGTATCATTATTGTGTTTGTGCTTCTTCTTTTCCGGCTGATGTTCAGTACCATCTTTTGTATCTAATGCAATTGCTTCTTCACGTTTATCTTCCTCCTTTTCGGCCTTGTGCTGTGATCGTCTTCTCACGGAGATGGATTTCCTTCGCGACTCTCCACTTGTTCCTGCATTTGCTGCTGTGTTTTTGGCAAGCATTTCCTCATCACTGGGAGGTTTTGGTGTAATATCAAAGTTTTCAATTACTACTTGTCGCACATCCCCAGACTTCTTTGATTTTGATGGTTTTGCATCAGTTTCGTCCTCCTGATTTACTAACTTCTCACTGAGCTTCTTGACGCTCTTCCTCGACTTCCGCCGCCGATTAGCTTCTGGTGGTTCATCATCAAGTTTTGTGACCTCTGAATCATTTTCCTCTGTGGACTCCTTTTTACCCATGGTTTTGCTCTTTCTGGAGCCCCCAAAATTCTCGTTATTTCCAAGGAATATGTGGGGGGACTCACTCCATCTATTGAACGCGTAGTCCGCGTTCTCAGCTTGAAATCGACCATTCGGTAAGTGGAACGTGTTGTAGCACTTAATGCTGTTGACCTCTTCGAAAATGGATTTCTCCATTGTTTGCTCATCAACACTAAGTAGTGGTTTTAGAGAGTGTCTACGAACTTTTCGATTTTCATGTCGACGAGTCGAGTTTAAACGATCAACTGATTGAACAGGTCTTCTCAAACGATGTGGGAACAGATTACTGACCCAAGAACCCATTTTGCTTCTAAGTGACGCAATTGAGCGTACACTCTCTGCATGACTTCGATTAACATCCTTTGGTCGTTTCTGTCGCAGTGCGGAAAAGCCACGGGGACAACTTTTGTGCTGTTTCCCACTCTTGGGTGTTGTTGGGACTTGAGTTTGTGAATGCGGGTGTGTATTTCCAGTCTCTTCATTCTGTACTATGTTGTGCATGAAATTTAATAACTTTCCAACATCCTCAAGAACCAGTTTCAGTTCACCTCGCCTATGGGCCTGTGTATTGCATGCTTCTTGTAGATTTTGTATTGTTCGCAATAACTCAGATGAACAGGGTTCTCTAGCAAGGGGTTCAAAAGCCCGACCGTCCTTGTGCCGTGTAGTAGTAGTTCCCGAATGGCTACATTGTTGTAACATGGTTTGCTGTTCAGTCCATAGTACGGTATCGTTTTAGTTGATGCATCAGTCATAAGTGGCCGTCAGACTGGACGCTAGTCTCACATGTTAGATGATCCCGTAGTTTAATCGATATGATATTTGAATGTGTCGCATGACGTCATGTGATAAGCAGACAGGCGGAGTTGCATCGGTCCTGGCATAGAGAGCGAAAGCAACAGAGCTGTACGGGGCTAATTTACAGTTTACTCACAAGAAATGGAAACCTTCCGAAGAGTGCTTCTTAGAACACTTTTTTCAATTTTTCTATTTGGCTAGAGTTTTCATTGTAGATCACGCACCTGGATGTGTTGGGCCCCTACTCGAGAAACGACACAAGCAAAACGACACAGTTTGTTTTGATCCATCTATAGTAAAAATTACCCTTGTATGTCCCACCACATTTTCTCAGCTGTCCAATGCGAATGGCAAATACACTACCTGACGTGGCACGAAGGACGCTACTCACAAGTATGCATGTGAAAGTGGGCTCATATTTGGTGGCGGTGCTTGGGTCGTTGGGTAACTCGACCTCTTCATCAGTTGCCTGTTAGTTTTTTTGACGTTGACTAAACTGACTGAGAAGATGATCATTTTAAAGTCTAACATATTTCATTTGATTAATCCGGATGGTTTTACTTGGCTCTTACCATCGTTCATTATTTGAAGAGCATGGTCACAGACATAAAGAGTAAATGCAAGTGATGAATATGGAAAGGTTACTGGAGAATAATAGGGGAATATTAGATAAAAAGAGAGAAGTGTTTCATTCCAAGTCATGCCACCAACAGTTCCAGTCAGACAAGATGGATGGATGGATAGTGGGAACTGAGGTTTGCTGTGTAGAGACTCCGGTTTCCTCCACTGAGTTACATGACCTCAAATGTTCTCCTTCGTAGACTTGTAGGTGCTATTGTCTTTTTACTCGAAGTAATATCAGAAGGTGAAATAGCACTAACAATAAACAGTTATGTACAGTGGCTACCAGAGACACAAATTACAACTGAATAATGGACAAAAGAAGTATGAGACTTATCGAGTTCTTCGTTTGATAAGTTGTAGCCGATGCAGCCAATGTTTGTGGGACGCCGTTGAATTGAATGGGGTCTTGACCGAGTGTGTTGAAATCTGGCCTGTTCTTTGTCGTTTAATCCAAAACGATTTCGAGCCCAGACTTTTCCTGCACAGTGAGTCGTGCGTCGGCTTGAAATGGTCTGGTCAAGGCGCTGTGTGAACTGACGAGCGTCGGGCTGTGGGATCGTTGTCTATAAGCCCTCAAGTTGTCTGTTTTTTTCACCCATTTGCTTGTGCGATGACCACCTCGCCACACGTCCTGACATGTAACCTACTCAATCCGCTCCTCTGGAGGAAGAGGAGGAGGAGGTGAGAGCACTACCCTCCAGTCTCATGAGATTTGCCAACAAGTCGAAATCTTTAGAGAGACCACGAGTAACTCCCAACAAAATCCAAAGCATGAAGGTTTTGCACCGAGCTTTTTTTGTATTTTGACGTCGGTTAATCGACTCACGAGTTTCTGAGGTTTTAGAACTTGAGTCGCACCCTAAGGTTGCGTGACTGCCACCGTATTTCCTCTCTCTAGAGACTATCTTAAAGAAGAATCAAGCTCTGACTGATGCAGTCCTCTTAACAGTCCATGTCTTGAAGTGAAATATTTGTAGGAACTCCCCTTGGAGGAATTGATTTCAGGGCACTTATTTCGCCGCAGAGAATGTCACTGAAAGGATAGACTAAAAGTGGTATGTCTCACTGGTCACAAATTTGACCTGTCAAACTTATACACTCATAGGCAAATTAAGTTGTTGCTTTGGGGGAACTCCGCTGAATGCCAGTCGCACCTATCGCTCATCATATTCTTCATCCGAATGTGCTGCACAAGGTAGAGGTATGGAAACTCTGGGTTTCACTGAGCAAGCTAAAGCTAAGACTGTTGCGAATAGATTAGCTTCCTTCACATCAAAGTCCACTGTCATGTATGTATGGAAGTTCGGGGAATATGACAGTTACGCAAGACAATCCTAATCGGGGTGATATATATTCGTAACAAGGCCTTCAGTCAAAAAGCCGGCATGATGAGAAACCACACAAAACTGAATTGCAAGGATCTAATGAAGCTGTATGGATTTATCTATGTGGGCAACATGGGCTCAAGCCTAAGGTAAGATGGTAAGCGAAGGAGATTCGTATATGCTTACGAGTAAGAACTTTCGCACTTTAGTAGCTGTTGGAAGGATTCTATGTGGAAGTGTTTACAGGCACCCAAGAGTGGGTCTTTTTACTTTCCTCTTCTACCAACGGTAACTTTCATTTATTGTCCGGACGGCGCACCCTCATTCTGTAGGTGCAGTATTAAGGTAGCTGCTCAAACATTTGAAGAGGTGGACTGGGTCAAACGTGGCAGACCACATGGCTGAGATCAACTCAAGTCCAGTAACGAGCTTCACAAGTCAAGTGATCAACGTCAGCATCGCACCAAATATTGCTCCCGCCGGTATAATAGAAGCTCAGTAGCTTCTGATTAAATGAGGCAAACCTAATACTTGTTCGTGTAATTACACGGCTTCACCGTTCCTCACGGATTGTGCGTCATTTACCGGAATGAAGTAGCGACACGCCACAAGTTAAATATGGCATCAGACTGCTTCCGATTTCATTCAGATTTACTTCGTCATTTTATGGCCCTTGACATAGAACAGACCCATTTTTAGTCACGTCTGCCGGACCGTCTGCCAAGAGTGGTGTCGATTGTCGTGTAGCGAAAAGGCGAAACCTGCGTATTCATCAAGCCAAACAATTACTCTGACATCTAGGTAGTGAGGTAAAATATTCAATAGATGGAAAACAATATAATATTTTCACCATCACAGCAGTTGTGACAGTAACCAAGTGCTGTTGTGCAAATGGCAAATTACAAAATTACGGTTCTATGGAAACCGGGTCCATTTGTTCCCAGCAAAGAAGCAGGGGATATTATCCCACACATCTATTTTAGCATTAAGGTATGCACCTACGATATATGCTCGGTCCTGTGGACAGTTGTCGGCTTTGGCGTGAGCTCTGGAAGCATTCGCTGCCCGTTTTAAAATCTGCAATCTTCAACCCCATTTGCCGCTATATCGTGCTGGATCTTCTGGAGGGATTTCTGAACAACCCAGCGCACATAATTATTGATATATGACTTCAATATACTCCATGGAAATATAAGTATCGTGTAAATATTAAATGAACATCATTTTGTGGAATTCGAAACAATACCATCTTTATCTTGATTGAGAGATGGTGAATACCACTCGAAGCGGACCAGTGCCATACATCCAAATTCTTTCTGTATGAATACCTATTCCAGCTTTGCGTGTCACGGAGAAGTAAAGCAAAGAGCGCGGTCAGTGGCGCCCGTTCGATCGCCTTCATTGCCTAGCTACCCAGTTTCCCAGACTGAATTCCAAGGCCTGGCTTTATGTCCCACATTCTCCCACTTCCCGATAACCGAAACTGGAACCAATGTACCTGTGCTATGTGGTTAATGGCTGATAGATTGAATTGATTTTGATTGACAACATCTGGTCTAATGACAATCTGTGAACGTAATCCGCATGCAGCTGTCTCAAGTATTATCCCGTTTTGATCGTAAAACCGACAAAGCCAGTAGCCCACACTGCACAAATAGTGTGCGAGTTCTTTCCTTCACCATCAGCTATAACGGTATGCACTGGTGTCTCTAAGTGGCCGACGTTTGACACTGCGGCGAAACAGAATAGAGTTGGTTTCGTCTACCCAAACGACCAGCCTATCCCTGGTCTCCAAACGCACAGCCCTCAAAATGTCCTTCTTTCTCAGTTGTTTATTATCCATGGAACTCATTGTTCCACATACAGGGTGAAGTTTCTTCAATGTGAGTGAGTATTCATCTAAGAATTTATCTCACATTGTTTTCAAATTCGGTGACGAGTAACTGTGTGGACAGCGTTAGTGGTGAACCTGTTTCAATCTAATTAATTAGCTTCGCTATTTCTGTCTCGTCCAGTCAACTCTTTCAAACCTTGTCCCGCTTTGGGAGCCCAGTTTTAGACCCAAATACTCTTACCAAGAAGCCGACCATCTGTCACTTTGCGCCAAACAGTTTGGCAGCGTTTCCCTATTCTTCATTATCTTTAAAAAAATCTTGACCAAGTAACCGTAGTATTTCAAGAGAATATCGGTTACAAAGGACTTATCAGGGCATTTCAGTGGTTTCTCTCTGCAAGCATTTCTTTTGACTGTTCCGATGTGGCCCTAACAGTGTTTTGCTTCATAGAACCATAATTGGATGGAAGTTGCGTTCTTCATGCAATTGTGGCTCGGCGTCACAGCCCAGACTGAAAATCGACAAGCATTTCTGTCTTTCGTAGTTCTGACAATTGTCTGTCTCCAACCCTTGTTGCTGGCTTTGTGCTAAGCCGAACTCATCCGGTTGTCTGATTTCCTTAACACAATCTTGATGGTCATGAGACCGTACATTTAGCAAACAGGGTTGTAATGATGATTCATATTACATTGAAGCTCATATGTTTCTGGTGCTTCTGTACGTGTGGAGCCGTATTGACGCAAACTTCAAGAGACACTCGTGCAATCCTATATTTAGCTCTCAGACCATATCGATCGGTCCACGTCCTGACTCTGGGTTTATCCGCTGACATATTGACATGGTGATCAGCTGACATCCTGTTGAAATGTAAGATTTGTTACCCGGAGTCTACTGGGCTTCCGCCAACTTCTCAACCGGAGGAAACAACCGCTTACGAACCGAAGAGGGGATAATTTCCGGCCCATCAAACCGGTGATGCACACTCCAAGATGATGAACGCTTACAAAATGTTCGGTGGGCGGTTCATTTTATACCACCTCTCAAAGGAAAAACCTCTTGTCGAGGAAATATTTTGGTAGTACCTGAAGGTGTTTGTAAACTTATAGTGACCTCCAACCGTTGCTCGTAAACACAATTCATCTGAAATGAGAGGAAAGCAAACAAGTTTTGAGTAATCTTGATGAAGCTGGACAGCTTTCTTGTGTTTCGTCCGACACCATCCTCGTTTGAGCCTTCTTTATCACTGGAAAGATCGGAGTAGTGTATAATTAAAATAGTCTAGATGGATCATTTAT